GGGTTTCATTCACTTTTAAGCTCCTGACGGGGTGAAGGCCAGGACCAGCACTTGGGGCTGGACGCAGGTGAGGACAGTTCAAGCGGAGCCCATGCTGCAATGCACACAACAGGCCAGAGCCCAGGCAGACCCCACAGGGCCCCTCTCAAGCCAACAGAGCCTGGCCAGGCCGGATGGGCACATGCTCAGTGTTCAGGCCGTGTAGCGTGGAACCGGGCCTTCAGGGTCCACTCTCTGGCAGGTGACTGTGGCAGCCTCCAGCCAGCCCTGCTCTGTGGGGTCACCAGAGGAATTCCACTAAGAAACCACCAGGGGCACAAGTCCTGTGCACTGCACACCCCTGCACATTGGCTTCTGCAGCGAGATCTGGTCTCTGGGTACCCAGAAGCCGTTCCCATCGCGTGAGAGAGGGTGTGAGGACAGGGCTGGTAAGGAAATCATGAGTGAGAAGTGATGGATAAGCCAATGTTTGTGGGGAAGAAACTCAGAGAACACAGCTTTGTAGTAAATTGGTGCCAAAGAATGACAAGGTTTCAGCAAACAAATTTAGTTAAGAGTATACTGTACCCAAATGGTCAAGTGCTACCTTATCAAGATATTCAGTATTTTCCCGTGTTCCACATATCTCAATTTACCTTCCCTGCCTAACATGCCAGTTTGTAGTTTTTCCTCTTCTCTGGACAAAAATGCCTCTTAATTGTCACAACAGCAGTTTTCACCTGCACCCAGAAAGCCATCCTTGTCCCTCTCCAAGGGGCTTCCTCCTGCCCTCCTCTTCTCTCACTCTGGATAATGATACTATTTCTATGTGGCCTTTCAAGACCTCGCTTTTAAAGAGCTTTTACAAAAACTCTTTTAAGTGACTCCATATCCACTGAGGTGGGATGGGCATGTCCACACCGTCTAAGGCAAGTTTACAAGGAAATGTCACAGGCTGCAGGCCGAGGTGTGGACTCCAAGAACACTGAACCCACCAGAGTGAGGTGGTACCATGAGCTGCTCCATTTGCCCATCAACAGGAGCACAAGGGTTCAGGGGGCGACTAAGGAGGTGAAGTGGGCCTCTCTCTGATTCCAGGTACCAGGCCAGCTATCTCAGGAGCAGCCATGCATGGAAGGATGGCCTCCTTAAGACCATGGACACCAAGTGTCACGACAGGTCAGCCCAGAACCTGGCACAGGAGCTATTCCGGCAACACCACGAGGCCACCCAAAAATGTTTTCACCCCTTGCTGCACCGTGCTCCCTGCTCATCAGGAATTGGCATGGCAGAGACACTGGATTGGACCTATGATCTGTCCCCTGAGCCCCCTGAGAAGGATGAGCTTGGGCTTGACTCCAGCTTTTCACAGGACACTGAGAGGGGTACTGTTCCCACCTCCTCTCTGGCCTGAATTCTTTTAAACAACAAGCCTGACACAATCACAGAGTCTCCAAGAGTGTGCGGCAGCAGCTAGGAAAGCCTTTGTGGCCCAAGCTCAGCCTCTAGTGGACACACAGTTACATGACAAAACCATTCAGAGAGGCTCCTGGGTCTGATGGGACAGAAACCCCACAGTGGCTCATTCTGGTCCCTCCAGCTAGGAAGGCCAGTTGGTTCCTCAAGTCAGGCTTATGTGGCAAGTATCAAAGAGGCATCTTCCCAAATTTTATCCCGTGGCATCTGAGCCTTCAAAAGTTGAGGAAATTTTTCTATGTACTCCTATTAATTCTTTGAGGACACCATTTATCATCTTTTATATAACTTTAACATATGAAGATAGCATTTGTTGTCCTCAGTGCCATTTATATCTAAGGATCCATATGATATAGTTCTGGTTGTATTACATTTTAGAAAAAAGATTACTTTCAAAAGTTACATGCTTTCTGCTGTCAGGAAAACATTTTTACATAACCGTGCTATTTTGTTTTGCCTGAAAGACCAGCAATGCCTATTATTCAAGCACTACCATTTTGATTCCATCAGACAATCTCATTTCTGTTGTTTTATTCCCAAAATCTTTTCTTTTACTGTAATTTTAATCTATAGCAGTATCTCAAGTCCTTTGAGAGGTGAATAGGATTTTTTCTCCTTTTTCCTTAACTCTAACTTCCTTTTCATTTCCTCTGTTCTCCCATTTTTCCTTCTTCCTTGGCTCCCCCTGTCCTCAAGCCCAAGTCTCAGTCATCTGTTATTCCCTCTTGCAGCTTTTCAGGAGGTGAGAACTGCAGCAGACTGGGGCTCCTAGACCACAGGCAGCCAGAGAGACCACAGAGAAAGGGCAGCAGCTAGAGCCCAGGAGGAACTAGACATAGCCTCGCCTGCCCCTTCAACACAGATCCCGATTTGAAGACTCACGGGTGGCAGTGGGTAAAAAGGCAATTGAAGGTGAGTAGGGCGGCTCTTTTTCTTACCATTTCTTGAGCTGTTACCGCAATGGCTTTGGAGTATTTAACCACTGTCGTCTGATAGTCGACAAATGTTCCCTTAGGTTCTGGAGGAGTGCCTTCGTCCAGCTACAGGAGAGGGAAAAACCCAAAAGTCACAACAAGCCTTTGACGTGTGGACAGTAGTTATGAGAATTAAGAACTCTGGAAAGGCCCTCAGAGATTGGCCCCAAGTCAACAGAATTCCCCACCTCCTGTGAAAAGTTCTTCAACAGAGGCACACATAAGGCTCTTGGGGTACACAGGCAAGGACAGGCCCCCAGCTTTGTCCGAGAGGAGCGGGGAGCATGCCGGAGGAATGGTGTTTCAGCTACGTCTCAGCAGGTGAGAAGTCTGCCACCCAGGTGAGGAAGGTGACCCAAGAAAAGGGGATGGCATTCAAGCACACGGGGGTGGGAGTGAGCCTGACATTTCTAGGAAATAGAAAGTGGCAGAAGATGAGGTGGGGGAGGAGGCAGGTTCTACACCACGAAGGGCTTCCCTAGGAATGGTATCATCTGTAGATATCTACGCCCTGGAACTCTACTTATAATCCAAGTCGGGAGTAGAAGGAATCGGAAGCACTAGGAATAATGTGTTGCTCACCTGACTCTAAGTGACAGGAACTGAGAGAAGGGCAAGGTCACTGTGGGGTGGAAGGGCTGGAAAAAGTGGAACAGTGGCTGCGTCTCTTCAAGGGATGGGGACGTGTTGGTTTAGAAGACTTGTACTGTGACCTGGTTCCAGGGCTTGTGAATGGACCTCAGGCTGGTCACTTACACTCAGAGTCTCAGATCCTTCACTGGTAACTCCCTGGCATCACCTGGTTGCAGTAAAAATCAACTGAGACTACACCTGGTCAAGAGCTACAGAAAGCAAGAAGAGATGATGACCATGATAATGAGGATGATGATAATGTTAATGATGATTAGCATGGAGAGAAAGGCACCTGCCTTAACCATCATCATTATTGTTACTGTCACCACTGGTTGCTGAATGATGTTCCAGGTGAGGAGACAAGGTGAACACGAATGAATACAGGCACAGCGAGCACAGTAAAGTTGGCCTGACCTGAACGGTAGGGGACAGGAATGAGGCTGGAACTGTTTTATGGAGAACCTTGGAGTCATGAAGAAAAGGGTGGCACTGAGGGTAGTCAATGACCTATTTGAGAAGATCTCCCTGGTAGCTCTGTGCTAGTTTGGAGTCTAGGAAGAGACGGGGGCCAAGAGGTCAATAAGAAAAATGTTGGATGGCGTCTTCAGGAAGAGCTACATGTCGTAAGCAGTCGTAAGCCACACAGGGAGAGGAGCGCAGCCCTGCAGCTGGTGCCTGATGTGGTTGCACAGCCCTGCTTGGTATTCTCAACAAACTATCAACACAAACTCCAGGCTGGACATTTTAGCTTGATCAGGCAGAGATACTCCCAAACACCCTACCACAGCATGAGGGCTCTGCTAGCCAAACGAGGACTGAGTTAAGTGTTCATTCAGTGTCAACTGACTGAGCATCTTCCCAGCCTCAGGCAACGTGCTAGAAGCTTCCACAGGAGACACGGCATAACTGCAAATGTGCCAAGAGGCTGCAGTTGGGGACAGCGTAGAACTCGGAGCCAGTGACCACCATGAGGAACCTTTAACCAGTCTGAAGACAAGGAGGAGAAAAAGCACAAAGTTCTTACTTTTTCAGAATTTCAAATGTATTTAATTGAAAGAACTTTCCTTCATTCTGAGATTATAGCCTTCCCTTTTATTTATTTATTTTTTTTGGTGTTAACATGACCTTTCTTTTATAAATAGCAGTGATGTAGGTAGCAGGGTTTTTGTTTATTCTGTTAGTTTTCTTTCTTGCACAAAAGGCCAACACCCCCAAAAAGAAAAAACAACAACAACACAAAAAGGTACTGCATCATGAAATCCCATAGGACCCCACTAGCCTCACTGAATAGGAAAATCCAGGTTCAGAGAGCTTTAGTGACTTGTCCGAGGTCACCCAGAAAAGTGGTTACTTCATATTAACCTATTAGTTCTCAAACCTTTTAGTGTTTAAATATAGAGAGAGAATCTCAAGGGGAACCTTTATAATAGAAGACCCCAAAGTGTCAAGAATTGCATCCAAGTTAGAATCAACTTTGGGTACACTCACAGTTTTCTGCCAGTTGCTGCTTTTGAGAATTTCAGACAATAATTCTAATTACATATTAGTGTTTTAAGCAAATTAATGAAACTGACAGAAAACGACTTGCTGCTTAGGGGGCCCAAAAGACCTGAAATATCAGTTAATACAAAGTCCCCAGTGATAGGCTGAGAAAAGGGAGAATGGGGAACAGGTGTCATGTGGGACCTTGGATGTTAGGTCAGGGTAGGTAAGAGTTCAGGGGCACCAAAGAAAGCACAATTGTATACACTGCAGAACTGGGGCGAGACAACTTTTGTTCCCGGCCTCTCTGGCTTGTGTCATCAGCAGTTCCTAATTATTGCTATCAGGTAACAGCAGACTTATCTCGCAGCCCTTCCAGAAGAATCAAGTGTGTCCTGGGCTGTTACACTACTGAAATCAGGTGGTGCAAGAGCGCCTCGCCTGCCCAGAGCTCATCACAATACCTAAGGATCTGACTTTCATATTCCAGGGACTTATGGGACATTTTCCTATCATTACAGTGATTCTGAAAAACACCTTCTCTCCAAGGGAAAAAAAGAAAAGATTATCATTGGAATTTCTAATTCTTACCAAGAAACCTTAGGCTCCATTATTTAACATCGTTGGTAGCTACTTGGCTTATTTTCAAAGCTCTGGTGTTCTGATGTCTTGAAAACCAAAAAAACCCACTGAAACTTACCCACGGGCCTTGAGAAAGAGGGGAATTTCACTCATTTGCTGCCAAACTGTCCCTATTTGAAGCATGAGAAGCCCACAGTAGAAATTAATGAATACTTTGACAAAGCAGAGCTTGGGGTCTCTAAAGGGAACCACAGCATTCCAGCCTGGGCTTGTCACTTTTATCAATCTGACCATGAATGCATAATGTTTAAGGATAATTATTCTAATTATAGTTTTAGGGTATCGTTTCTCTCTGGAGATGTGAATAACCAATCTTCTCTAAATTAGCAATTAAAGACTGCTTATTATCCTGAAAAACCATGCTAACGTATTTACAATCTGACAATGGACATTTCAAAACACAGACGACGTCTAAAATTCTTGGCTATGCTATCACAGTATGGCAATTAGATGCTGATGAACAATTGTTTATTCTAATGAATAAAACTGACATGACTAGTGAAGGATTCC